CTGTTGACAAAAAAAAAATTTAATACAAAAAAGCAAATGTTATGTTATCCAAAAAAAATACCAAAATTAATCGTTTAGTTTGACAGTCATTAATACATTTACACAACGAAATACAATTTAGTTGTAACTTTTGGCATGAACAAGCCTGTGTTTGACAATTTGATGAACATTTACAGGGCTCAATCAACAGTTCTGGTAGTCTATATTCAAAGGTTCTGGCAATGGTCGCTTCGTCATCTACCTTGGGTAGGTACAATTTATCATCTTTTTTTTCATAGCCTAATAAGGTGTAATCAATAGGCTGTAATACCTATTGTTTGGTCAGCATTTATCCACACATAGGTTTGTGCTGAAGCTCTTAAATAATGTAAATGTAGAACATCTGATGTGCAAATTATTCTTAATAAGTTTCAACCGAAGCCGATATTTTGCGAAATTAATTTATACCGAAGTTAATTTTTGTTGCAAGTGCTTTCTAATTCTGTTAATTGATCGATACTTGGATATGGATTTTGCCAGTTGAATCGCAGAGGGTAATGCTGGTAAAATACGATAAGTAATTAATGTTTTCGCCAAGGGATTGGGCAGCCCAATGACATCCTAAAATGCATTTCCTCTTATAAGATCCTTCAAACCATAGATCTAAACAACCTAGACGAGCTAGCTTCTTCCAGAAATAAATTTCTAAATTAAAAAAAAAATAAATTCAAAATTTTATATTTTATAGATTATCATATCTAACAAGGACAATGTCGATCCTCTTTTCACATTTTCTCATATAGATATATTTGCATTTTTTGGAAGGTTATTGGTTTCTCACGCGTATTTGATTTTTTCATTCTATAATTTTGTATTAACAATTTACGCTCTCTTTATTCATCATTCCTGTTTTAATTTCATTTGCCAACATTTAATTATGGTTAATTATTAAAAAAAAATTGTCACAACATTATCATCGGGATAGATATATAACTCACTCAGGCAACTTCGGTACTCGCGGCGCAAGAGGAGGGGGTATAACACAAAATTGGACCAAGCGGGGTTCCGGCAACATCCGAATTATTAATCTACAAGCTTTTCTGAACTGGGATCAAGTGGCAGAATGCGGTCCTCGGTTTTTGCACACTCAAATCCATCCAGCGCCTGCACTATAAAATATTGTCATTTTTACATGCGCATATAATTATAGGACACTGGTTAAGTAAAATGTCACTACACTGTTTTTCCTGTTCTAAAGTTTCAAATTCAATATGTGCTTGAGATTAACACGAATTGCAAGTAAGTATCCCATCTGAAATACAGTGAATTTTTTTTAAATGCGAACATAGGAGTTTGCATGCAATGTAATTTCCCTATGTTCGATTTTTAAAAAAAACACATCAATCTATTTAGTAGTTCAAATGAGTAGTAGATATAATTGACAGCTGTCACATTTTTGAAAATACCGCCGTCCAATTTAATTACGAAATCGGTTAGGTTATTGCTTAGAATGCCAAGGAGGACACTTCCAACATTTATTGTAGTTGTTTTCGGTATTTATTTTCTTATTTTCTTCATTTATGTATTGAATAAATCAAATTAGTAGAATACTAGGTGCACAAATAATTTTGAAGGTTGGTTCACAATGAATTGCGATGTCAGCGCGTGCCATGTGAAGTCAAGTTATCGTAAATTCGTAAGTTTAAGAAAAATGTATCCTAAAGTTGCTATGGCCTCACACGGCTTATTTAAAAAAATCTTACCGAGTGCTCTTCATCATAAAGACTATCAGTTGCTGTTCATAGTCACACAAGTTGTACGATTTGGGAATGTGAACCGCGCACACCTCATAGATTGATTTGTTTTTTTTTTAATCGAACATAGGGAAATTACATTGCATGCAAACTCCTATGTTCGTATTTTAAAAAAATTCACTGTATAATGTAATAATTAATACCTAAGGTTAGGATATCTTGTTTACTTACGCACGGCGCAGGTTATGTTACAATCAGCGCGCAGACGTAGGTAATTATAACATTTCTTCTACTTTGATAATTCACCACCACACGTCAAATTATTACTCTTCTTATATGAAAATAATCTCCTTAAGTTTTGAAACGGACGCGGCGTATCGCGATTCCACATTCACCATTTGACAGATTACAGTGGAGACATCTAGGCTGGTCAATCTAGGCAGGTTTATACAAGTGAGGTAGAAAAAATTAGTAACAAAGTGATCTCTGCGGAAATGAGTACTCAATAGGGTCCTTATTAGCCCCTCAAAAATCGCACTTTGTCGCATTGGTGGAACTTGGAAAAAAATGGCCGCCATCTTGATTTTTTTCGAATTTATTAAATATTTCGTAAAGTATACATTATATCAAAAAAACTCAAGAGACTTTTATTATGGAGAATTAAAAGTTACCTGTTATAAAAAAAAGTTTATTGATCAAAAAACAAAAAGTTATTGTAATTTATATGATTTGGCAATATGGATTTTTTAAAAATTTGGCAAATATCTGAATTAGTTAAAACTGGTTTGTATGCCCAATTTTGAAAATAAGGATTTTAAAGTAAAATACTCAATAATTGGGTAATTATTCACATCTGTGTCCAGACTTAGATGTATTTCAAAAACTTAATGCAGATATAGCAGTTTTAATTAAATCAGGACTTAAAATTATTTTAAATCTGTACCGGTGTCCAAAGAAGATTCATGATATTAACCAGTTACGTCACACACTATACAGGGTGGTGACTTGCGTAACGCATCATAGGGATTTCAATGTAAAATTCATAACATGCGATTATTGGCTCCCCAAATTATTTTAGAGCAAAAATGTATTAAGGTTTTTTGTAGGAAAACATTTTTTACGGCAATCAACCGTATTTAGTTTTCAATTTTTTGCATAACAAAGACGGAAAATTGGAAAATTAAAACCTCCATCTTTTTCAATAATCTGTGATGCCATTAACTGCAAGACAGTAACCAAGTCGATCATAAAATCCATTTCGATCTGCTGCTAATTGATAACTGGATATCTTTTTGTTTTAGAAAATTCCATGGCATCGCAGATTATTGAAAAAGATGCGGGTTTTATTTTTCCAATTTTCCGTCTTTATATGAAAAAAATTGAAAACTAATACGGTTGATTGGCCTAAAAAAATGTTTTCTACAAAAAAGCTTAATACATTTTTGCTCTAAAATAATTTGGGGAGCCAATAATCGCATATTATGAATTTTACATTTAAATCCCTATGATGGTTACGCAAGTCGCCACCCTGTATATGTGAATGACTTCAAGGCAAAGCTTAAATTCAGAATTATGTTTAGCCTCACTGCCACCAACCGAAGAAGCTGCCAAACAGCACATTAATATCATGAATCTTTTTTTTTTATTGATGTATTGCTCCATGTGAATTATTTTGGATATATTTAATGTAGCAGGTAAGTAGAGGGAAGGTTAAGTAACTGCAGGAAAAGTAGGTAACTAGCGGGAACCTGAGCATGAATTTGTCTTTTCGATAGCGCCGTCCACCCACGCCGTACTTTACATTAAATAATTAATTTTATAAAATGCGAGTCAATATTATTTGAAAGACGAATATTTATAATGTTATAGTTTAAATTGTCCTCGTTTTCCCGTAAGTGAAAATTAACTCTTTATCATATAACCAAAGAGTACTCTTTGATATAACTTAACCTATCTTTAAAATTCGTGCCGAGATGTAAAAGGAACGCGTGTTCGGTAAAAAGGCTTTTTACTAGGACGAAAACAGGAAATTAGGCGAAAGTTTATCGCCCTTGCGACGTTCAACAACCAGCTAGATCGATGCACGTTGATGCTTTTGGAAAAAATATGAGGTTCCTAGAATCTTGAAATTCGTGACCTGATTTTTATTGTTACACAATTTGCTTTTGTCGATTTTCTTTTGCGTTTTGTTGTCTTAGTTCGTGTGGGCGATGCTCGGGTTTTTGTCCCGAAGAAGGTTTCCCTGACATCGCCTGGTTGTATGCGTGATATATTTTATTTGTTCTCGTCTTTTCTTACGACCTAAATTAAGAGTTTTTATTCAATTTCCTTTCCTATTTGTGTATAACAAGAACCGCCAGTTTTAAAACCGACTGCTATACCCAGATTCGGAAGTGCCGCGAAACGTCCGTCGTGTTGACATGAAAGGAACGGTAGCTCTGCTCATGAGTATGGGGTAAGTCAAGATTGCAGTCGCTTATCGACTTGTGGTGCTCAGTACTGTGGGCGATTTTATTACGAAAAAGCAATTAAATTGATTTTTCCTTTACGCCCAAAAAATAATGTCTACCTTAGTAGAAGATCGCGGCATAGACAACCTGTTGCAAATAACTACCGAAACATTATTTTAAATGATCGAATGTGAGTAAAACTGTATACAAACCTCGATGGTCAGTGGTTCATAATCAACGTGTAGCGCGTGAAAGTGCACTAAAAAGGAAAAAATTCATGTTTTCTCACAAATTGGATACCATTCTTAAATTGATTCACAATAGTGGGGGGGCTAGGTCCAGCGAGGTTAACAGAAACCATCTCTCTGTGCTTTCTTTCTCACCCGCTTTGTCTTTATCTAGACCAGAAAGTGCTATCATTGAATTTGATAGTTATAAATTCAATGGTGCCATTGAATCGAAGCGCCAGTAAAGGGAACTAGAAATAATAGAAAATGCGCATTCTGAACCTCACTACTTCTTTAAACATCTTCGCCATTTATGTAATCAAAAAATTCAAAATGGCTCGAATTTTTGCGCGTGGTTTGTATGTAGCTACACCCTTCGCCGTTAGATAAGACGCTCTAGTATCATACGTTCTAAAATGCACGAAGATTCAAATGTAAGTGTGGAGCTTTGAAAAAATTATCAAAAGTAGACAATCACCGACTAGACTTAATTAAAGTGAATTAAGGAATATGTATTGTGTTTCACTAGCCCTGACCTAAGTGATGAATATGTATTCTATTTAAACATAGCACCTAAATATCAAGGGAAAGTTAATTCTAAGTGTTGCTGTTGAATCTGAATTGTGATTTGTGCGTGTTTCAGAACAGAAATGATTGAAATAAGTCATTTAATTTTCTTCTTGGCGCCACTATTAATTGTTTGGAATATATATTGGCGCATAACGCGACGGCATATGCTGGAATTGGCCGACAAAATTCCTGGACCAAAAGGTTACCCCCTCATAGGAAATGGGTTAATGGCGTTAGGATCACTGCACGGTATCTTACTTATTTGCCAAAAATAGTCAATAAATGATCAATTTTAGAGATGTTCAAAACATTGGACCAATTGAGCTTTGAATATCCAAGCGTTATTCGGATATGGTTAGGACCAAGACTCTTCGTGAGCTTAATGGATCCCAGAGACGTTGAAATAGTATTAAGCAGCAACATACATATTGAAAAAGCAACTGATTATAAACTTTTTGAACCTTGGTTTGGAAACGGTCTTCTAATAAGTGCAGGTAGAAATTCGGGAAATGCTAAAAAAAATCGTAAATTTTGCAATATAGGCAGAACATGGAAAGCCCACAGGAAATTGATTGCTCCAACGTTTCATTTGAATATTCTAAAAGGGTTTATAGATCTCTTTAACGCCAATAGTCGAGAAGTCGTAAAAAAGTTACGTCAGGAGAACAGAAAAACCTTTGACTGCCATGATCATTTATCGGAAGCAACGGTAGAAATACTCTTAGGTAACCGTCAATTGTTCGCCCATTAACTACTTTCCATTCCTATTTCGCAGAAACTGTAATGGGTGTAAGCAAAAAAATACAAGGACAAAGTGGATACGAATACGCAATGGCAGTTATGAAAATGTGCGAAATTCTACACAAAAGACATTTGAAATTGTGGTTACGCCCAGACTGGCTATTTAACCTAACGAAATTCCGAGAAAAGCAAAATAAATTACTCCGCTTAATACACAGTCTCACAGTAAAGGTTGTTGAAATAAAGAAAAAAGCACTTGAGGACGGTATTCAAGGTTCCCTCGCAGACGTACCCGAAGATATTTTGAAGAAAGTTGTGTCAGTCCCCGATGAAAATATTATTGAACACCCATTGGATGGAACGATGATGTTTGGTCAGTCTGTAGGGATAAAAGACGATCTTGATGGTGATGTAAATGTAGGGGATAAGAAAAGATATTCGTTTTTAGAAACCTTGATAGAAGCAGCCAAGAGTGGCACACAACTTACTGAAGAAGAGGTCAGAAACCAAGTTAGCACAATTATGTTTGAGGGTCACGACACCACTGCCGCCGCTAGTAGCTTCTTTCTATGCCTGATGGGCGCTCATCCCGACGTCCAAGAAAAGGTACATCAAGAAATGTACGCTATTTTTGGCAACTCAGATCGATCGGCAACTTATTCGGATACACTAGAAATGAAATACCTAGAACGATGTTTACTCGAAACACTGCGATTGTACCCACCTGTTCCACTCATTGCGCGTAAGATAAACCAGGACGTAAAACTAGGCAAGATGACCAAGAGATGTTCAATTTAGTTTACGTTCTGTTTCAGCAAGTGGTAATTACACTGTACCGGCAGGATGCACTGTCATTATAGCCACTTATAAATTACACCGTAATCCTGACATCTATACTAATCCTGACGAGTTCAATCCGGACAACTTCCTTCCAGAAAGATGTATAAAGAGACACTATTACTCTTTTGTTCCATTTAGCGCCGGACCACGTGGCTGTGTTGGTAAGACCAGTACACTGATCACGCATTATACTAACTGAATACATGATTACCTAAAGCCACTTCCAGTCTGTACTTCGGTCACAGTATTTGGTTGTGTACTTGTGTCACTTCTTTATTTTTATAGGCTTCATTTTGAAACAGAGGAACACATATTATAACTCTCGCCAGGAAAGATTGCCGGTCACAGAACACTTGACCCCGATCTACAATCTCTGTTTTTCGTAAGGTGCTAGCGACTTCCGGGATAGAATCGTGTCAATGTTAAACGAAAAGACTTTTTGTTCAACATTAGCACGATCCTATTTCAGAAGTCGCTCGCATCTTAATCAAAACAAAGATTATAAATCGACACAAGGTGTGCTATGACCGGCAATCTTTCCTGGCGAGAGTTATACTTATATTTGCTTTTCAAATTTTGTACTTGCGGCCCGAAATAATTAAGATCCAGTTATTCTAACAGATTGTGTGGGATCATGAAATCAATCTACAAACATTTTCGTTTTAGGGCGAAAGTACGCCATTTTGAAGCTAAAAATCCTTCTATCTACAATAATGAGGAATTTTGTTGTCAAGTCTGAGATTCCTGAAACTGAATATAAACTTCAAGCTGATATAATATTAAAACGGCAGGATGGTTTTAGGATTCGATTGGAACCAAGAAATGTATCTAATTGAACAACTTGTAAATGCGTGTTCACTTGCTTCTTTAAATAAAATGTACTCTTGTTATGGCGAATTTAATCTTCAATAGAAACCGAACCCGTTTTGACAGAAAATGTGAGATCATCAAAGAACGACAAAATGCATTCGGTTTTTTATAATAGAGTGGTACCATACCAAGCGTCAGTACTGGGCAAACGGTAGGTGTTAGTGGGTGAGAATAGATGATTGAGGAGCTCGAAGACCTATGTGATGGAGTCAGAAGTAAAAAAGAAGTGGGAAATAGGGAGCAAGTTAGAGAAGATAGAGTGCGACATGGGGTAGAGGAAGATGCTAGCATTGAAGAAACAATGAAATAACTAACGAAACAGAAAAGACAACAGAAGTGTACAGATGGAGGAAATTGGAGGAATAAGGAAAGGGAAGAGTAATGAGAAAAAGAAATACAATGCTTAACGAGATCAGAAAAGTAACGGAAAGGAGGAAAGTAGAAACAAAAGCGAGGGTTAACAATATAACGATAAAGGAAGTGGAGATCGAACAAGAAAAAGAGAACAGAAAGAACGGAGGAATAGCTTAAAGCAGTGTTTCTCAACATTTTTTAACTGGTGGTCTACTTGTGCATGTTATTTATCTCTGTGGCCCCCCTCCGCGTTAGACCCGGGGGTATGGAATCCCCCCTGGAGAGGGGGGGGGGTCATACCCCGAGAAATTTTGGAAATTTTAGTAACTTTATACGTGTTTTTAGACTAATTTACGTCTTTCTGCGACTGCACAAAAATGTATAGAATGTAGGCCATTTACTGTGGTATGTCAATATTTTAACATTTTAGATTAGATCAAAATTAATTTGAGTTATTTTTTTAGTAATCAAGAAACCATTTTCATTTTGATTTGACGTTGAAATTTTTTTAAAAAAATGCGTCGTTGTAAGTTGTAGAAAAACTAATCCTGGTAGGCGTTACAGGGGTGTTAGTCGTGTTAGAAAAAAATAGCAAACAATCCGGTATCATTTCTATTAATTGCATTCTGCGTTTGCCATTTATAAACAATTAAAGTTGTGATTACAATTTATTGCTTTCTAGGCAAGGTACACTGAGATAACAGAAACAAGGATAGGAATTATTGTGGTATAATTTTTGTATTAACCATTTTTGGTAAATTTATTTAATTTTAATATTTCAGTAAGATATTGTAGAAGTGAATTTTCGTGGCCCCCTGAAAAGTTTCCTTGGCCTACCAATATTCTGTCTTTCATTTGTGGCCCCCAAAAAATACGTCATAGTCCCCTTAGGGGGCCGTATGGCCCCCGTTGACAAACACTGCAAAGGAACGTTATCTACAAGTAAATGCTACGATAAAATATGTGAGATCAATAGAAACAGTGTGAAATAAAATGATGGAAGGCGGAAGAAGACGGAGGAAAGAAGTAAAATGAGAGTATGTGAGATTAATGCTAGAAGATGAAGAATATAAAAAATGGATCGGTGGGAACAGGCAAGAAGTGTACAGGACAGGACCCACCGTAGTAGAGAGTAGCGAAAGCGTGTGAGAGAAAGGAGGGAAATAGAAAAACGCGGAATGAACAAAGGCGAAGGAAGACGGTAGAGAAGGGGGGATTGTACTGGGAAGATATCTAAACGCTAGGAATAAATTATATGAGTATGATAACAAAGAGACGAACGAAGAAGAAAAATTGCTATTAGAACTGACTGAATACACAATACATCAGCTGGATTCTGGATTATAATAGGAGCGTGGACAGGGTCCACGCGTACCTAGGCCTCAAATTTGGGTCCTTTGTACTACCTCCCTGACTAGAGTCGTTCGACCCCTCAACGTCACTCAGGCCATCCCACACGTGAGATGAACCTAAATATGCTAGAAGGAGAGGCGGCTCTAATCCTAGCCATTTCCGGTCAGGCCAGGCCAATCGAGCTAACTCATTACCTTCCATTCCAAGATGCTCTTTAACCACTGCGAGCTCAAGGGTGTGGCTGCTTGCTACTTGCTCTACTGCATGGCGACATTCGGAAACCTAGAGGAAATTTTACAGTGACCAAGTACCTGCAAGGCAGCCCTCCTACCACTGAAGATTCTAATATTTTTGTTCTTTATCTTATGTATAAGAACTTTTCTTGTACTGAGCGTTAGTTCAGTTCTTTGGAGTAAATACAATGCATGTGCCTGATTATGTCTGGTTGGGATGTCACAAAATCAAGAAAGGTGTGGTAGTTTTTCCCTAATATGAATTGAGGAGTGAGTTCGATCGCCCTTCTAGGATATGCAATCGCTTAATCGCCTCGCCCAGAGTTTGAGAGTGGCCCACCTCAATACCTCTGTTATTCAACAACCCATTATTTTTCAGGCGCAAAGATGGCAAAGTGGTCCGCTCTCTCGCGTGGAGGCCTAGTGGAGGCAGAAGCAGAAGAGCCTCCATGACGGCTGTGGGAGTTGTTCGCATCGCGCCCATGCAAGCAAGGCACGCACAATGCACATGGTTAAGAAATGCTACGGTTGTGGAGCTGTACACGGCAATGACAGTCACAAGACGGCCTTCAGGGATGGTCACCAAAAATTTAAATTTACGTTAATAACTAAAACGTTTTGGGATTGTTAACCCTGAAATATAACCTTCTGGTTACAGTTTGGTCATTTCCATTTAATATAAGACAATCACTATTTAGATTTAATTCAAATGAATTATGAAGCATGCATTGTCTCACTGTAATAGCCTTAACCTAACTGATGAATATTTGGCTTTCTCTATCAAAACAAAGGATGGATTTAAGGAGTTGTGTCACCATGATTTTTCATATATTTTTGAGGGTGGGGGCTCTCAACATTGTCTTGATATCTACTTCCGTTTCTGGCCAATGCGCGCCATAATATTAAAGGAATGTTAAGTTAATATCATAAGGATCATCTAAATAAGCAATTTTGTGCAGTTAACGGAATATTCTCAAGAAAACACATTCTGTTTCGCAGAAAGAATGCATCACATCTGCCGTGATTTCTTGTCGCCGGTTATGGCCCCTCCATGTCTATCTGCATTTTTAGCGCATTTCCACAAAAATTAAAAAAAATGCGCTATTGTGGCCACTTTGTCCGTCCGTCCGTCCGGCTGTCCGTCCGTCCGTCCGTCCGTCCGTCCGCTCGTTTTGCGACGCTACTAGTTCTTTATCTTAAGAGCTATTGTTCTACTTTTTTCGCTATTTGGTTCGTTATGGTGTCTAGTCTTGTACCAAGGAAGGAATTTTTTCTGTGCCGCTTACAAAAAAAGTTATTGTAAAAAAAACAAAAAACCGTTTTTTTACATGTTCCATAATTTTACACTTTTGCCGTTTATTAACGATCCTAGAGATCGTTTATAATTTTGCATTGCTATCTGTCGTCTGTATGCTGGTCTGTCCGTCTGTTTCTTTTGTCTGTCTGTCCATCTATCTGTCCGTGTGAACAATAACTTTGTTTAGAAATGTTCGATCGCTTTTACATCTCCGTTAGTTATGAACTGAATTGCATGAAATTCAATATGGGCATAGCTTTAGCCATATAATTCGCAATGCCAAAAGTTGAATCGAATCGATTCAAAATTCACAGTGCCCTTTTCGCATCTCGACCATTTATAAACCGAATTGCAAACTTTTTTACTTATAAAAGTATTTATTTGAATGAAATTTGATACATAGGCACTTGGGATAAAGGAAAATCAAACGCCAATTTCAAAATTTGGTTTTGCGCATGCGCAGTGCAACTATTTTATTTATGGAAGAATTTAAAGGAAATTTGATACATAGGCACTTGGGATAAAGGAAAATCAAACGCCAGTTTCAAAATTTGGCTTTGCGCATGCGCAGTGCCAACTTTTTTATCTATGGAAGAATTTAAATGAAATGTGATACATAGGCACTTGGAATAAAGGATCATCGAGCGCCAGTCTCAAAATTTTCTTTTGCGCATGCGCAGTGCCAACTTTTTTTGTCTATGCCACCATTTAAGTGAAATTTGATACTTAGGCGCTTGGAACAAAGGTAAATCTAACATTAGTTGGAAAATTTAGGCTTGCGCATGCGCAGTGCAACTTTCTTATTTAGGAAAGCATTGAAATGAAATTCTTCTCATAAACTGAAATTGAAGTAACACGTCAAAAATGGATTGCCCATGTGCAACGCTATCTTTCATATTTGTGGCCGGATTTTTACGATTTTAACAGAAGTTGCATCTTATAAATGGGAAATGAGTGCAAGTGGAAATGCGCTTTATGTAAATCGTTTACGATTACTTTTTAACTTGTTTTACTTTACTTTTACTTTACTACTAAAGGCTTTTATAAACAATCGACGAGTCCGAAATATTGTCTACAGGAATAACAGTTCCTACGTTTTAAAACAGTAGCAAAATAAGTCCTATTAGCGCACTCACTCGCTGTTTAACAAATTTAATAACAGATCCAGGTTTGCGCGTAGTTATTACAAGTACATAAACTGCAACAACAAAAATGTGCGAGAGAAGACAATCGGTTCGTGAGACAGATAACAGCTCTTGATATCGCCCGCGTGTTTATATTTCAAGTTTGTGCCAACAAAGAGAAATCCGGGAAGTACTTTTGAAAATTATTAATATTAGAATTTTTTTAATGGCTAATTATATTTACAATCTGCTCTAATAAGCAATAAGTAAATCAGGTGGATTACAAAGACAGAACATGTTGGATGCCGTCCCAGTGGAAGGCTTCCCCAAAAGAATTACTTATTATCTATATACCTACAGGTAATATTCAACATTCAAGACAGTCTAGTATCGGTCTGGAAGGTCCAGGGGGCTGATTCTCCTCAGTCTGTTGATTGTATTGCTGTTATCTAGCAAATTCACAGCAAGATGGTTTGTATGATTTTCTAACCTCGAAAGATACTTTGCACTCACGCACTTCACTTCTTTCACTAATTTCACTCGAAGATCCCTGTGTATAACTTCGTTTTTAACGTACCATGGAGCATCTACTATTGTCCTCAGGGTTTTAGACTGGAATCTCTGCAAAATCTCCAGATTGGAGTTACTTGTGGTTCCCC